TGCGAAAGTGAAGAAAGACTTGTTTGAAAGGGCTCTGATCTCAGAAGTGACATGTGAGTGCACGGTGCAGTGAGAACCTTGTACGAATTCATTAAACCGTGAATGTGAAATCTGTCTTTGTAAGTAAGGCTTTGGGAGCAGGGAGAAGTGTTTTACAAGTAGATATCCTCATAGCTCTCCTGTGAGAGCTGAAAATGTTGTCTCTGTTTTAGATGTCTGGAAACTGAGGCACAGACATGTGCTTGGCCAGGGATCATAAAGCAAATAACATTGAAAGCCAGGACCAGAGTGCCAGGTTCTGCGCCTCCGTCAAGTGCTCCGGGCACTGAACCAGGCAGTTTCCTAGCATTTGAGGAAAAAGCACTAAATCTTTCATATATTCATTCAGATGAATTGGCCAGATTTTTGTATGCTGCAGATGTTATCAAATATTCTTTACCCAGCTCTGTTAGGACTTCGGCTTTTATGGCAGTGATGTCTTTCACTACAGTTTTACAAGGGTTGGGTGTTTTTCTCATTGATTCCTTAAATGACCTGCTCTCGAGTTTAATTCTGGTCTAAAAGATTTCAGTACTTGTCTCCCATCAATATTAAGGTTTTATTTCTGTCCTTTTGTTACTTATGACAGTAGTAAATAGCAGCACTTATAAATACTTTATCTTTTTGACAATAAAGCAGCCAACAGTGGTGCTCTCAGTTCAGTGTTAAAATCAGCCATGCTCTTAATAGTCACTTGTTGTAAACATTAAGCTACCAAGTAGATAAAAGTGATTAGCATGGGAAAATAAAGGTGTATTCACCGATTCCCACTGATGGAAACATATCTGGCTTTCATCCTTGATTCTCCAAAGCCAAACTGCTCTAATAAATCTGGCTAACCAAGCTAATTCTGATTCCTTTTTGTCATCTGTAAAATCACAGCATTCAGAATTTCAGACCAAATCCTATGCTGCCAAGGAGTTAATAGGAGAGAGAGAAAAAATAACAGCTATTCTGCGGGAGGGAGGAGAGAACCTAGTCACTACAGTGGAAATAGCCTTTAAATACCATTTTATACCAGAATTGACACAAAGGACTTTCTCCTCAGCATCCTCCTGTATTTTTTCAGTCTGGATGCACCTTACAGTTCATGAATACAAGGACAGATTCTTTTCAGGGCACTACAAAATCTCCAAGAGGAAGGAGAAGGTCTGGCCAGGGGCCATGACCACACAGTCCTTTTCAGCATTATTTAGTGGAGCCTTCAGAGAATATAGCAATGTCTGCTGCAATGTACTGTCTCAAGGGCCTTTCCTTTTCTCCTCCCACGCCACATCTCTTCCCCATTCTTACACCTCCAAAACCCAATGCCTTTAAAGCAGTCACCAATTAATCGTTCCCTTTCAGTGTTACTGTCTGTAAAATAGGAATAGTGATCGCTACTACTTTGTACAAGATACACAAATAAGTGTGGGCAAGCTGGAGGAACTAATTTGATAACTGCTGTTTTTTAGAAAACACATTTGCTTTCAGAACATATTTAGGGACCTTTTTTTAAGGAGTAAGTTGATGGCCCTGCTTGGAAGGGCAAATGCTGATGTGCAGGTAGAAATATCTTCCTATTCTTCAGCAAAAATAACTTTTTTGCTGTGAAATCTGAAATCGATGTGAAATCTGCCACACTTGTTGGCATTTATCCAGGTGCCAAATGTCACCTTATTGCAAGCTTCTGCTGAAAACTGAGAAAAATCTTCTGATGTGGTTCTGTAGAAGTAGAAAAGATTAAAAGGATAGGATGGTACCCAAAATGTTTGAACTCATTTTTTAAACAGACATTTTGAACCGTTTTGTGGTTGATTTAAAATGGAGGGTTTTTTTCTTCTGTATGAAGTTCTAATTCCTTATCCCCTTATCCAATTTTGAAATTTAGAGAAGAAAACAGGTAAGTTTGTTAAGTAAATGTAAATTCAAGATGTTGAAATGTGTATGCTTTTTAATGGTAGATGAATATGTAGGAGGATTTCTTGGAGCTTGTGCTTTTGAGTTGTTAATATTTCACAAATGCTGCATTTTAAACTTGCAGGCTTTTCTTTTGAAGTTGAAAGTCATGATTAGAATTATTTTCCAGCATTGTATAAAAATGGTGGCAGAATGGTTTAGGGACTAGGTGGAACGATTAAAAACTTTTATTTTTTTAGGATTTTGGTTTTGTCACCAGCAGGCTGAGTCTGAAAACAACAGTCAGCGTGTCATCTCTTTGAAGCTGTTTTCTGTTCTTTGTGGCTATGAATACACATCACAAAACCCTCTGGTATAATGAAGCTCAGTGTTCAGTATCAGCAAAGCTGCTGTCTTCACTGAGCCACGGTCTCCTGTAGCCCATCACTAAGTCACTTGCAGTCGTGGACATTTTAGCTGAAGAGGGTCTATTAGATCATCCAATCTGTGGTAATACAGGATTTTTCCTTCAGGAGACATCAGCCAGGAAAATGTTACGCTAGTGCTGCTTGTTTGGTGGATAAATGAAGGGCCTTATTCTCTTTGGGTGTCAGCTGCCTGCAGCTTTAAGTAGTAAATTCAGTCTCTTGACGTGTACACGTGTGTGCATGTACACACCAGATCATTGCATCGCCTGTCAAAGGCTTCTCATGAGGAGTGTAAGCACCTTGGTCTTTGAACATGTACTGGTGCTCATACGTGAATGATTAAGTATTGAAGTGCCTGGCAGTGTTACAAGCTGTTAGCTGGTGTTAGATTTCAAGGGCAGCCAGTGTCAGAGGCCATTTGAAATGGGTCAGTATCTCTGAAATATCTCCAGACATGTAGACATTGACCTGTTGGTTGTAAATGCCAGCACGGGAGAGCTTGAGGCTGTGAATTACAGCATCTGTGTTCTCCCGAAAGCTACCAACAGGCCCAATAAATCGGGGGGAAACTCTTCAGAATTAGTTTAAAAATGCATTAAAGATGCCCATTAAGTAATAATAAATTCCAAGTTTTAGTTCTTCAAAATCATAGTTTACTACTGTATCACAGACTTGAAGATCATGCATGTTAACTGTCGCTTCTCACTTAAACACATGAAAGTGAGTAAGAGGTGCTGCATAAACATAGATGGCTGCTAGGAGAGGCTGTATGTCAGGTAATAATCATTCAAGATTTTTTTTTTCCCCAAAAAATGTCCTTTCAAGTTCCTTTCCTTGTGGTATGTATTATTATTATACTTTAATTGTATGTTTTTCTTATAAAAGTGCATTTGTTACTGTTTCATACACCCTTTTAAACATCTATTGTATCTTTAGAAGTGGTGTATTATTGTGCTTTTCAGCTCCAAAACACAAAGATCAGCTCAGATCATTAGCCATGTTGCTATTATGTTGTTTTGAGCTTCTGAAATTAATGTAATATGCATTACTGACATATGACAGCTATTTTTACTTTTTTTTTCAGAATTATTTGTATTTAAGTAGGGTATAAAATCAATAATTTTTAGCTGCAGAGCTCTTGCCTAAATGTTTTGGTTTGCATTTAATGAACATACTTGTTTGATTACATCTTAAAAAAACAATACAAAACAAAACAAAATCCAACAAACAGATATTTTAAAACGTTGATGAAATTTTCTCTTCTGTACTCCTTCTTTTCTATTTTAATGATCAAAGTATTTTAGTGGATATTTGTGAGCTCTTGTGATTTCTTGATGAAAAAGCGGAGCTAGTAGCTATTCAGTTAAAATGAATCCAGAAAAGCAGTGAGGCTGGGTGAGCTTAATGATGATTCTGAATGCATCAGGGATTTTGCCACTGGCTTCCGTGGTCCTAAACTGTATCCCTGAATATTAGTGTATTGTGTTTGAGTACCAACATCAGAAAAGTTTTACTGACTTCTCCTCCTTGTAGGCAGAGGAGAATAGAATTTGAATTATTAACAATGCAGGTACAACATGATTCATATCTAAAATCAAAACAAAAGAAGCTAATACTGATTGAAGTGCTTTTGTGCTGAAGGCACAGGACTCCAAATCTGAATTCTTTGAATGGTCTGAGTGAATTGCTTTCTGTCTGCCTTAGAGTATGGACAGGTCATCAGAAGCATTTCAGTTATTATAAATTAATGAATTACTACTTGTCTTTTAAACCACAGTAAGTGACCATACGTTTACAACTCAGGCACTGATTGAGGGTGGTGGTAGGTTTTTTTGATGTTTTCTGTATCTTTGCTACCTTTCTGCTTGTGATCATGCCAGTCTTTGTGGGATTGTGCAGTGAATTATGTCAAAAACAACCTAGGAAAAAGAGGTTGGTTATCTTCACAGTCCAGCTCAGTTCCCCATCTGGTTTACTGCATGGTGCCCAGCAGTTGTGGAAACACAATGAAAAGGTAGATTTGCATGGGAACAGAGATGAAGATATATTTTTGCCCAAAGATACATGTGTGAAATATGGCCTCAGCCCACTGTAATAATGTATGAAAAAATGCACTGGCTTAAACCATGTGGGTTGCAGACACATGTTTAAACACTTGTACATGTGACAAGTGGTTTCAAGCTGATTTTTTTTTTTTTTAACTTCGCATTTGCAATGGACTAAAGAATAAACAAGTTATTGCCATTTGGCTGGTGGATTGTAACTTCTTAGGTATGATAATTGTTCTTGTGGTTATGTGTTTGTAGCAAAAGAGTCTGTGATCTCTGAGTTGTTTATCATTTCTGTACAGCATTTAACAAAGCAACAGTGCATGTTAATTAATGCTTGTACGGTAATGATCTAAGGGTCTTTGCCTTGCCTCCTTAGACTAGAAGTGGCAAAAGCAGTATATCTAAACACACAAGAAAGTACTGTATTTAAAATATCCAAATTATCATGATGATTAAACCACATTGCAAACCCAGTCAGAATTGTTCTTGGCAGTGGTGTTTCATCCCTAAGTTAACAGGAATGTATTTGCATCTTACCAGTTATTTGAGGGAATCCTCAAATTATATAGTAATGCGGATTGTTCTACGCTTTGCTTTTAAACAGGGCAGAAAAGCTTCAGTTGCTTAACCACAGGCCTGTGACGGCAGTTGAAATACAGCTGGTAAGTAGCAATGCTCCTGACTGCTCAAAGCTTAAATGAAAGCAGCTTTAACCTTGAAGATCAACTGAATAATTACTTTCTTATGGTCAGTGATTGAATGTATCCCTTTATGCACATCTCTACATCCATGGTTTGAAATCCACTCTTGTTTCCTCTCTGAGACCTCCTTAGAGACTTGCCCATCTTTCTCTCAGACATATTCTCCACCTCTGTCTGCTTTAATGTCACCTATTGAAAATGCACATTGCAGTCATTAAAGGTTAGTTACAGTATTGCAACTAAGAATATATTTAACCCGAGTCTTTTTGCTGCTGCTCAGGAATCAAGTACTTTGCTTTTTGACAGTTGTGATGACACGGTTGTTTTGATGGCACGGTTTTATGTTGTAGTAAAACCAAACACACTAAAAAGGAATGAGTAATGAAGGATACAGAATTTTGAGCAGTGGTGCAGAATGAGAAATGGATATAAATGTACTTTCTCATGGAAGGTAGCCATTGTCAATCTGTTAAGCATAATTCTGTTGTAGAGAGGGATTGTCACTAAATAGAAATAGATGGTTACATTCTCTGAAGTATCTCCTTAGGAATACAAAATCCCATGGTAATAGAGATTACTATACTAAGGATATTCTTTTAATAAAGATCTGTTATGTTAAGAACATCTGTTCACAATCTTATCCTTAAATCAAACTGTGTAGTAACAGGATCTTATTTTGCTGCAAAAAAGGGAAGGATTAAAGAGGTACCAGTAGGACTATTTTTCTTTTGTAGCCAAAGAGTAGACATTATAATGCTGAAGGCATCTCATAACAGAATGCTTCTAGCTGAGGAATTAATACTCTGGTTTGTGATTGAAGAGATCAGTGTCGATCATCAACCCAACCAAAAGCACTAGGGTTTCATGAGTTTTGCTTAGGAAGTTAGTCATAGGCAATGATGTAGAGCCTATCTCATACCTTTGTTAGCTTCATGTGCTTAGATACAGATTTGTCATATTCCCCTATGGGCCATAAACGGTCTTTTTTACCCCTTCTTTAAATGCAGTTAATCTTTTGCTGCTTTCAGGTAACTGTGTGGTTTTTTCTGTTTTTTTCCATCCTCCCTTCATTGCCCTACCTAGTTCCTCATTATTTTATCTATACATAAAATACTGAAAATAGTTTTGCTCCTGTGTCATGTTTGAAGTCCAGGAGGTAAGTATAAGAAATTTGGATCTTTATATTAGAAGTCAGGTTTCTGTACAAACCTTGGAATATCTAAGTTAGATAAGACTCATTGCTAAAACTGACTTTAGTTTAGTGTCAGTCCATTATTGATATGTAACCCTTCTCTAAGGATCAGAAGCAACTTGTGAAAAATGTAATATTCATACATTTAGGGACTAGCCTGAATTTGTATTGTCATGGCAGTATTGGGGATGCAGTTTCTTCTGTTCCATTGCGATGCCCCTGTAATTCCCAGGGAAAGTTTCTCCAAAACTAGTATTACAGTAATCTAAGTTGACTGAATCGTTAGCACGCTGTTAAATTAAGCCTCCCCAAAATTGTAGCACATTTACTCTTTCATCAAAGCACATCAAGTCTTTTCAACTCAATAACTGCTAGGAAACTGCAGACCATTTCTGTTAGTGAAGTACAGAGATTAGAAGCCATAGCAAGGAAATGATTTTGCTGTTCGATTGCTGTCTTGAATAATTTTGGGTTTTGGTAAGGACAGGGGAAAGAGATTGTAGCAGTGTAGTGTCTTTGAAGACACAAAACCTGTGTCGTCTTTGAGCATCTTTGAGTATAAAATAATGCTGAGCAGGGGAGGCTACCAGCATTTTCTTCTTTGATGTTGGTGGGGAGATTACCCGTACACATATTTCATGCAATCAAGTCAATGCACAGCAGTAGAGGGAAGCGAATACTAGATCTAAAATTGCCTCGATTCTCTTTCATTGGACTTGCCCCTGCCATTCAATAGCTTTTGGGTTGCTACTGGAATGGAATCAGAAATAAATGATGGTGAGAACTTCTGACTACTTCATATAATATAGGCAAATCAATCTTATTTTTTATAAAGCTTTAAACAAAATGCTAAACAAGCGATATTTCTGTCTCACTTGCTCAGATAGTTTTGATGTCTCAAACTTTTGCTCAGTGCTACCTGTCCATGGAGTGGAGTCAAATTTGCCTAAGAGGCCTTTAATAGCTGATGTGAAAGGACAGTTATATTTACTACTGCTTACTGCTTTTTTTGTCTTTTCAGCTTTTTGGTTTTTTACTTTCTCTCTATAAAATTCCCTGTCTTTAGTTGTATACAAACAATAAATCAATTCTGATAAAACTATACTTAAGCTAAAAAGCAAATTTATGTTGTGATCTTTTGATCTCAAGTTCTTTTGTAAGTCTTTATGCATAAATTGCTGTAATTGTTCATATTTGTCTTTTTTGGACTGTGTGCCAGGATTTCTTTTCAAACAACAATAGCAACAAAAGGAGCATGAAATTCTAATTCATATCCCACAGGGTAAAACACTGTACGCATTGCAGCTATCTTGACCTCCTGTTTTAATCTTTAACATATGTTGTTCCCGGCTCAGTGATTCACAAAGGAGGAAAAAAAAAATACCAGTGACGTTGATCTAACCATGACAGTGGTGCAGCTTTACTTAATGCTGAACCATGATGGGTTTGAAGATTAAGCATCTCTGTTTCTAATGAACAAATTGCTCCACATTCTCCTCTCTGAATAGAAAAGTAGATTTTAATTCTGTGCTTTTGAAAACTAAATTTCCATCTCTGACAGCTTCATACCTCGTGATATGTCCTCTGCATAACCAGCCTGGCAGATTCTTTTATTGTTGAATAGAAAATAATAATGTAAAGTATTTTTCTGGAAAATGGGAGACGTTAGAGGATTTAAACATTTTATTTTCTCAACAATATATTTTGCTTTCCACTTTGCATACTTGGTTAATTATCTCTGAGGGACATTAATCCAAACATTCAGTCTTCTTTTTTTTATGTGCTTTTCTTCTATTAGCATGTTGGTGATGAACAATTTCAAATTACTGCTCAAAGGAAGAAATAGCAGTCATTTTCTCATAAAATATGTACCTCCTACACTGGAGTTAAATTGTGTGCTTGATAGCTTTGGAAGTGATCAGAACCCTTATTTCCTTTTTCCTTTTTTACTGTAGCTTCCTGATTATTTTTTTAAATAGAATTCTTAGCTTATTATTCAAATAAACAATAGCTTTTAACTCACAGGTTGTTCTGATCTGTGATGCTGAGGTTTGTTACCAATCAAATATTACTTATCCTTGAGACAGTTTCTCAGTTCTTTCAGAACTTTTTAGCGTTCTTCTGTGTGGCTTTATTTATTTTTCAACATTTGCAGAATATTGTCATGTCTCAGGAGGCTAAATGAAATAGTGTTGAAAGCTTAAAGGAAGCACAGTGAGGATGATGAAGTCTCGTATACTTTGCTTTTACTTGGATAAGCACAAAAAGTAAGGTATGGTTATAACAAGGGAAAGCATGTTCCTAAAATGTTTGTCCTTGTTTCATCAAGTGAAAAAAAAATCTAGACAAGTATGCATGTGTATGTATATGTCTGTGTTCATATTTTGTGCTTACATGTGTACATGTCACTATGAACATACATATTTGCACATTTATGAATAAACACTTCAATCTTTGAAATTATCTTGATAGGCTAGCTGTTATTTTCTGATTTGCCTTCTTGATAAAATCTTTAAAAGCTTCTGAAAATTACTTTCTGACATGTGAATTTATCAGCAGGTTTTAATGTGACTTACTGCTTAATGTAATTCTATTACTACATTCTGATTTGGTAATTATGGTTGTTTTGTTCCTCTGAGAAATTCATACATAGTGCTCAATTTAAAAAAGCTACTGTTAAAAAGTGCAGCTGGAGAGGCTGCATGGTAGTAAAATATTCCACATACACATTTGTTTAATAAGCACAGCTCTGGTTCCTGGTAGTGGTTACATTACTGAGCAAGGCATCTGCCAGTGTTTAATTCTGCAGTTGGTGAGCTATTTGTCTTTTCATTCTCTTGTAGCAAGATTCAGTGATGGATGTTGGGTGCATTTTGCTGTGTCAGAAAGCCCGTGCATAGGTGTATCTGGAGAGTCAGAACATAATTGGCATCCTTTTCTTATCCATGTATTCTCCATTTAGTAAATGTTTGCCTAATTTAATATTAAAGTCCAGTTAAGCTAGCTGGACCTCTTGAATACTTGGAATGAAGTCAATACATAAGCTGTGGCTTAGCAGGTGAAAAATCAGTTATTAGTCTTGTAAATAAATGTAGCATTGCTCTCAAAGGCGAGCAGTACTGTGGGTTCAGCTGCCATCTGAATATTTTGTATATATTCCACAGTTCTGAAGATCTGGCTGTTTTTATCTGTACATTTATCACTAAACTAAGAAGCAACTCTAGGTACTCAGGCTTGAAAAATACATACTAGCTGCAGGGGGAACATGCCTCCATTTTCTTAGCTGTAAGAAAGTTATGCCAATTAAGTTACCAAATAAAGTTTTCCTGCTTCCTTCCTTGATTCCTTCTTTGGTCATCTTGTAGATTATATTTAGAGGATTAGCTGGGAGGGGGAATGAAATGTGAAAATTGCTTACTGTATGAATATATTGCAGTGATAGTTTATTTCACTCAAACTAGTAACAGTTTTAGAAGTTATTATTGAGGCCTGACTTGACTGAGTTGATCTTGATGACATAGTTGCATTTCATAGAAAATATATACTGTATATATGTAGGAATGACATTGATATACTCTGACATTTGCTACAAAAGCACTGTAGTTTATTTTGTGATAGTATAGACTTGAATGCTTGAATGCTGAAAAGCAGTAATGGCTTGGGAATTGCTTATTATGAGAAGCAGCATAGCTGACATGGCTTACTGTCTTTCCCTTGTGTTCGTTTAAAGAAAATCCTTGCTCTCAGCCCTGAGAAGGAGGCATGCTTGTCTTGCTGCACATCAGGGTGCTTTTTATCTATAAATTGTGTTACTGTTACTTGCCCAAATCCCTGATTATTGAAAGTACACTGTTCAGTGGAGCTTTGGTCAGCGATACCCAGCACTTTGCACATGGCATCATCTGTGAGGATAATGTGTTTCCATTTGGTGTGTGTGGCACAGCCAATGTAAACTTCTTATGTCATATGCTTATTAGAAACATTTACATTTTTGGGGTTTTTTTTTGTATAAACTTTGCATTCCTGACTGCTTGTGGTTTGAATCTCTTGCTTGAGCAGTTTCAGCCAATTGCAAGTTAGAGGTTAGCAAGGCTTTTTGATAGATGTTTTTTCATATATTGGTAAAATTCTTACTGGAAAAGAAGGTGCCTGTTTCTTTTTGCCTCTTATGCTTTTTCTTACACACAATTTCTCTTCTGAGCATCATAATATTATTTCCCAGTACTATTAGTAGCAAAGGTATTTTGTTTTATAGTTGTAAATCAGAAGACTGTGTGAACATCTGTTGAATCTAGAATAGGTGCCTCTGAGTGACCCTTCTTTTTCCCTTGATATTTGTTTTCCTTTAGGACAGTTCCATTGCTCTCTGTGCTTAATTTTTGAATTTTTGCTTTTGGCGTGCTTCTTTGCAGCTACCTAATTGCTTTTAAGTTGCTGTTCAGGCTGTTTCCCTGAAGAGTGAAAAAAATTGATTTTTATAGCTTACGCTTTTGATCCTTTGAACTCTTGAATAGTATCACAACGAAATAGTGCTGAAGCATCAGCTTGAATAATAAGCTGTCCGTCCTGCTAAATGTAGATTTTTGTCTATCAGTAGTTCCCGGGGTGAGAGCTGGCAGTGAGAATGCATGGAGGCACAGAGAGGTGAACCCTTGATGAATTTGCTGCAGTAGTTTATGGAATTACCGCTTCCCACTGGCAGAGGCTACAGATCTGTCAGCAGGAGGGAATTTGGAGCTACATTACCCACTTCTCAGTGCAGTATCTGGCATCTTTCTTTAAAGATGCTTTTCTCAACAGTTTAATGAGGCATCACTTACAGCTCCAAAGCATCTGAAACATGAGACACTATTTTCATTCATCAACTTTCTTGTAATGTGTGATTTCTTAAACTGCCAGAGCAATTACCAGAGCTCATCTGTCAATGTCCCGAGTTGTATCTGCAGTTTGTCAGTCTTGCAGGCTTCCATGTTCAGCCAGTACAAATGACATCAACATGATTGTGCATATTGGGAGTTGGGTCATTCCTCATTTGGCACTAAGGAGCACATAAGAAACAGTGATAAGACACTCGTGTAAGAATATTCTGCCTACAGAAGTTGAGAAAAGTTGATGCTGATCAAATCCGGGTGTATAACTCTGGCTGCCTGAAGCAAACACCTAAAGGAGAAAGTATTTGGAGAATAAAGGAAAATTAGATACATAGGGATAAAATTTAAATGGGAAAGAGAGGTGAACTTCATGTGATCCAGTAAACCAAATCTGAACTAGGCAAGGTGCCATTTTTCTGGAGATCGGAAAGCACTGGGATGGTCACGAATGCAGGAGACATTGGCCACCAAGAGATAAATCATTCTTTCTGCCTTAAGTGATACTGCCTGTCCAAAGGCTGTGGGCTTTTTCTTTGTATGGTTCCTGCTTCTATGGGGCTGTCACCTTTAAAATTCAATGTAACAGTAATTAATAACACTGTAATCCAGTCTAAAAGCTAGGCTGATAATCCTCTACGAAATCGAATAGCACAGGTCATCTGTAGAGTAATGGCTTTGTCAGCAGTACTGACAACAACCAAGAGCTCATGTACACTCTGTAACATACTTTATTGTATAAAGTTGATGCTCCAAGGCATGCTAGTCAAGCTGCTGAGATGATCTCCTCTGAAATGCAGCCTAGCAGGCAATTATCTGGTACCACTTCAGTAGCTGCAGCAGTTGCTTACATTGAAGGGTAACATTAGGAGGATTTTCAGTATATTTTAATGCATAGTGTATAGTATAGCAGCTGGTGGTAATGAGAGCTAGGGCTGTTTTCCAAGCCAGGGTCCTACAGTTCTTGAACTAACTGTACTTGGAAAGCTGCTCCACAGAGAAATGCATCCTTTGATCAGGATGTCCCCAGAAACAGTCATTTACAAATGGATATTCACCGCCTGCCTTTTGCTACATGAGTGGATTCTAGTGTGCTCGCTTGCCTCTCATCAAGGATCTGTGGATAATGGCTGATGAAAGACGATCAGATTGTGCAAAGAGGGCTCATAGGACATTGAAGGGAAAAAAAAGTTAATTGAATATACCACTCAGCTTTTTAGAAGGCAAGATGCATCTGAATAGCTGACAATTTATAGCTAGAACTGATTAAACCTGCGTTGACTTGGAACTATAATTAATATAAATCACCCCTCTTCAAAGGACACTTTAAAGGACTTTGTATAAAAAAGAAAATCTCAAACTCCGCAATCCTAATTGGTTTCATTTGCGTTTGAAGAGTTCTTTTGGCTTGCTTTTCCAGTCCTCTCACAAGCTTTTCCTTTTAACAGCTGCCTATAAATTAGGGCAGTTGTTTATACTGGTAGCAGTGATGTAAGAGTTCCCACAGCTCTACGGTGAGAGTAGGTCCCTAATTAACCTTACAGAATTTTATTGTTGATTCATGACAGCATGTTTTGTGATGCTCAGAGCTTTTATATGCCTTTATATTCAGGAATCTCACAATCCAAGCAAATTCCAATAAAATATAGCTACTGTAGGATTAGATGACTTCTTTTATGCCCTGATTACTTATAGTCTAGGTGCTGGATAAGATATCAAGGTTCAGGTAACCACTCTCGGTTTATCTCATTTCAGTTCTCACATGAAAGCGTAAGAGCTTAGGAAAATAGGTCGAGAAGGTGGGTCCGTACATGAGCTGAATGAAAAGCCTGGCTCAGGATGCTGATGTGTAGGTTGAGAGAGGCTTTAGGAGAAGTCAGGGAGGAAACCGTGTTCTGAGTGTGTTGTTTTCTTTGTTGTAAAGAAAGCAGGGTCTCATTATGGAGTGCCAATTGTAGTGGGTAACAATGGAGCTCTTCTTTCTTTTTTTTAATATTGTAAGAATTCTACTTTGCAGAATGCTTTTGTAATGAGCTCAGACTATGTCTTACATCCATTGAGAATAGTATTTCCCAATTAGTTGAGTCCTTCTGTTTGGAAACAAGGTAGGAAGTATGGATTTAATTATTACAATGAATTGTTTTTTGACCTGCAGATGGTAGAAGAAAGTGAGGAAAGGCTAACAGAAGAGCAAATTGAGTCACTTCTCCAGACAGTCACCAGTATTCTTCCAGGGGATCCAGAAGAACAACAGAGAGACTCGGCAATGGCAACCGAAGACAAAGGTGACCAAGCATAGGAGGCATCTAGACCAAAGCTGGCAACAGTGTCAGCAGAAGAGAATCAGCTAATGTTTTTCTGGTTTTTTTACTTAATACCAGTTTAATCTTGTATTGGACATCATTGTAAAATATGTTACAATTTTTATTACTCAGAGGTGATGAGGGAAGCAATTGTTTACAAGAAAGCATGGAAAAGGACACTATTGTTTCAGCATTTTGTCATAAACAGGGATGGTAGTAACAGAGTTTGTAATGCAGCAGTCTGAAAAATTATGAGGCACAGAATCTGAAGCTTTTGTATTTTTTCCATTACCCATGTAACAGCTGTACATTTGAATAGGCTTATATACAGCTGGCTGTGTTTTAATTATCACAGCAGTACTATAATTACAATTGCTTTCATATGGTTTTGCATTGCCCAACTGGTTTTCAGAATACGGTCTACAATACAAAGCCAACTTCTGGAGCAGTTTGTGAAAAGGGCTGTTTTCAGTGATCAGAACATAGAGAAATGTACAAGAACTGCTTGGAATCTGGCCAGACAATTTAAAGTAGGCTGTTGGCATCATGGAAGCGAGAGGACCTGTAGGTAGGGTAACTCTTCTCAAGGGTGTCTGACAGTCCGTACTTGACAAAAGAGAGATGCAGATCATCAGCTAAATCAATGTATTGCCACTGAAATCAGCTGAGTTGGACCAGTTTACAGCAGTTGAGGCTCTGGACTCAAATGTTAAGGCTCTTAGTAATACAAACAGAAGAACATTTAGGCATGAGGTGTATACTTTCCCCTTGAATGTTTGTTCCAGTGTTTATATATCGACAGGTCGGTCTTGTGAACATGCTGTTAACTGTGGAATAAATGAATGAGTCAACACTGAAGTGAAGTCATAATCTGGTTTAGAAGAATGAGAATCAGTCCTGGTTGAAGCAGACTTTTCTGTGTACTGAGCTTTTGTCTGATTAAAGATTTCAGGATCAAGTATTTAATGTTAAAAACATTGATGATTATAATAAATCTTTTGTGTATATATACCTATATATACATAAAGTCATGAGTTACACACAGCACTAGTTTTATACTATGACTGCAGGCCATTCTTTTATAATTATTGTAATGTACTGGAAATAAAAATAAAGTTTGAAGTACATCCTGGAAATTTTGTGGTTTATAGACAAGGTATAAGACCTTGAATCAGAATGTCTGACTTTTTTTTCCCTACTTCTGTCATGGTTTTATTTTGTGTTTTTATGCAAAGAATTTATACTTTCTGAGCTTTAGTTGTGCTGTATATGAAAGGGAGTGATAACTTCCAGTGTCAGGGGGATTTATGATATGCTTTGCCATGGTATTTTAAGCTTCTTTGATGTTTGGAGAGGAAAGGAAATTATTGGAAAATATATTTGTTACCACTTAGAGACAATTTATCTTGTATTAAATGCATTCCAAGGCTGGAGACTAAAGATACATTTTGACTGGGTAAATGTAGTGTTAGAGGGGGAAAGTCCTTGGTGGTTTTTGTCATACATCAGTGTATATTTTTCTCTCTAAATGTGCAACAAAACAAAAGAGATAAGTAGGTCATATTACAGAATGACATACGATTAATTTTAAAATTAGCATTTTTACTCTTAGGAGTAAAGGTGCTGTTTGACATGCTGTGGCCTTGGGCTGCAAGTGTTTACATTTTTATCCATCTCTTTCTAAAATTAAGTTACTGAAGCATGTCCTAAACTTATGAAAAGCAGATGGAACCAGATCGCAAATATCTTTAGCTAGCAAGAATATTTTAACAGATCTCTGAAGTTGGATGTTCCATCTTGGGAATTGCTAATTTGTTATCATAATGGATTTCTGCCAGCATCCATGTTGTCTTCTGTTGTATGTGCATTGTACAAAATACAAGAACTCGTTGACTTGCTATTGTATTTAACCTTTTTATCAAAATCAATTCCAGATGGATACATATATTAAACTTGTGCAAATGCATGGATAGCTTGTTCAGTCTCAGTTAAGATATGTAAGCTATAATTTCCATAAAATGCAATAGTAAGTAACATTTGAAGAGATACGGAATTTTGACATCTGTGTTACATCAGGAAATAATTTTTAAATCTACTCGCTGTGGTCTCTGGCTGTGTAAGTACAGGTGAGGATTTACTCTGGCTCTGAGAGCAGGTTTCGTGTTGTGTTGTTTACTCTTGGGTGTGCTCTTTGGCAGCCCGAGACTCAGAAATGGTTTATGGAAAGCAAATGTCATCTTGCTGATGTGATACCATTTTTCCGGTGTCCTGTGTATTACATAGAAGATCTGCCTGTCTCCCAAGGCTGCTTTTTGTTTTCGTAACCCCTTAGTTACCTAACACAATAAATGTACTCTGCTAGTTCTTTTGAAGGGGACAAGATGGCACGAAGGGAGCGGCACTGATGCATCGTGTGCAAGAAAGCACATGTGCGTATTGAGCGCTTAAAAGCTCAGTCTGTACTTTTGAGAATAAAAGGGCAGAGTACTTGGCACTTGCTGAATATTTCAGAAGTGCATATTCTTTTTAGCTTTCTCATTTATTCTGTGTTCCTCACTTCTGCATCCGCGGATCTCGGCAGGTTGACAGCTCTGCTTAGGGCAGCTCTTGTGCAGTCGGTGCCCCTCTGGGAGAAAGGGGGAACGAGCTGCCAGAATTTACCTGAGATTTCAAGCTGTTTGTGGGGTGCTGTGGCTTCTCTTTTCATAAATTCAAGCCCAAGCAGGGCAGCTCTCTTTAGGACTGTTTGACAGTCCTCGCTGGAGAGGTTTTATTAGCAAGAAGTTTTGGTTTATGGGAGGAGAAAGAGCTGCCACTCCTACCTGTCTGTGTTCGGGTGCTGGGAAAGGGAAATGGGTACATTGGCAACAGACGTCTGCACAGAGTTTTGTAGAAGATAGAGGAAATCCCTGCTGATGGGCTGAGCAGCTTCAGTGATGGTCACACTGTGGCAGGGCCGTGTATGAGGCTGTTGCCCACCACTGAAATGCAAAATTTGACAAGCTCTCCTTTTCTTGCAGGGACCAAAATTTTGTTCGTCTGTATTTGTGTGTCATATTTACTAGATAAATGTGTGTAGTCTGAATTAGAAAAAACAAACCCCAAAGGTTTGGAGTTCTGGTTTTCTGAAGCAGGTTTTCATCTGAAGGTTATCTTTAAACATGGAAGTAGTGCATGGAAATGGCATTCAAGCCTAAGGTGTCAGTGTGCTGAAAGGGTTAAATAACATCTACAGAGTTTCCTGAAGTTTAAAGTGTTCATACAAATGTTAAAAAGATCCTGTCACAAACAGTTCTGTACATAACTTTTTCCTTGCTAAAATCTCTAGTAGACAATCTATTGCTTTTGAAGTCACCCAAACCAGGCTGACTTACACCGGTAGAGAAATCATGCCCTAAAATAATTAACGAGTCACATCAGGGTACAGCATCAGGGGTGGATGTCTGCAGCTGCTGTAGCCCTAGCAGACCCCTGACACATGAAGAATAATCCAACTGGCCATAGTTTTGAAACTGTCATACCTTAGTAAAAATAAAGTTAAGAAATTTAACTAGAGTGCAGCAGAGTTGTTTCAGACCCAAGTCAGCAAGTGCCCTGGAGCAAATTCCTGCTGGTCCCAGACCTGTCTTGGAGGCTGAGCTGGGAGGGAGCAGGGAGAGCTGCAGGCCGCTTAATTTGTGCTTTGCTTTTTGTCCTGCTTGAAAGTGTGTTCTCCCAACTGATAATTGAAGGAGGAAGACCTGGCTGACCCTGTTTGGGCTGGGGAGGTTGGACGAGGTGATCTCCAGAGCTCCCGTCCAGCCTCAGTGTTTCTGTCAGTCTGCTTCCCCTTCCTCCCGCTGTGGACTCGCCATGGGTTTGTTTGCTTGTTCAGCGCAGAGACAAAAGCTGCTCTTGTTAACAGCTGAGATGCAGCAAATTGCGGGTTTCTCCCTTGTCCCCCTTTCCATCCATGCCTCGTGCAGCGTGGCCCCTTTGCAGGTGGGTGCTTGGGGCTCTGACACAGTCCAAACACTTTATTTCTGCGATGTTGACAAAGAGGGAAGGGGACAATCTTGCAGGGATCGCAGCAGGGTTTTGTGTTGTGCCTGCGGTTTCATCAGTTGCTTAAGGCTGAAATGGGATTTATGAAGTTGCTCTGCACTAGCAATGTGTCCTGCCCATTGCAGCTACGACTGACAGTGCATTGAGTCTGTTCCAAAAGAGGCTCCTCTGGTATGAAGGATATGTCCTTCATATGGTGTTTCAGCGTGATCTTAACCACAGTTTTCTCATGAGTTTTGCTTAATGTTACTCCATGGGCCAAAGTAATCTGTGATGCCTCTCCACTGCCTTAAATCTGCCCTGAAATACAGCACCATTCACTCATTCATGCTGGCTGTGCTTGGCCCCTCCAAGTCAAGCCACGTGTGAATTAACCCAGCCCAAACTGGGATTATTCTGGATCCCAGTTTTGAAACACAAAAATTTTTCTGTATTGTATTTCCTATGACTAAACTTTTTATTGCCTCTGCCTCCCTGGGGTTGCAGCTCTTTGACACCACAGTGTGTGAACAGCATGTTCTGTATTCCAGATAATGCTTCACTTCACTTCCTAGGCATGAAGTCTGCTTCCCCGTGTTCAGACACAGGCTTCGAAAGCATCGGTCTCAACTGGGAGCTACTGTTGTTCGAGCGACTCCTGAAACACTTTGGGCTTTGGCAGGGGGAAAGGGGAGTTGGGGGAGCCTGTATACACCTCAGCCTGGCCAAGATGGGGCTTTTCCCTTCATCTGCTACCCATAACCAGCCTTTTCCAGCCTGTTCCTGGTACCAGCTCCCACAGCAAAGGGGATACCAGGCTGTTTCAGAAGTCAGACTGAAGAAGGAGCATGAAGATCTTTTGTGCCTGAAAACTTGCCTGTTTTTTCCCAGTTGTACCAGCTGGTCTAAATAACAGATAGTGTCTTGCCCCCTGAGCTTTTCCTCACTGATAAAAACATGTGCAGTTATGAAATGTTCCTGGTAATTGAGAAGGACTTACAGAAATATCTCTGCTGACTCCTCTCCAGCACAGGCAGGCAATGCTCACAAGTTAACCACCCAGCAAGCAGCAGCAGCTGCCTCTTCGTGCTCTGACCTACAAAAATAAAACCTTACATTTAAATCTGAGTGACAACTATTGTCCTTTTAGGATGGCACAGGGACCAGGCAGGCACTAATACTCAGCTCCTGCTGCTTCCAGAGGTCAGTTCTTTGTTGTCGGAGATTTTTTTTTCACTCCCCACAGATGAACAGCACTGGGGTGGAAGATGCAGAGCGAAGAGCTGGCGTGGCAGGACGGGTGGTGGCTGTCCTGGCAATGGGAGATGCCCATGGAAGGCTGCATGGAGCAGCGAGGGGACTGCCACCTTGAGAGCTCTCCATCGGGTCTCCAACACCTCCCAACCAGCGAAAGGAGAGGAGAGGTATATAGGGCCTTTGGAGCCAGACTGAGTCAGCAAATGCCAGCTCTGCCACCAGCCTGTGGCCTCACATAAGTTGTTTTTCTTCTCTCTGCCTTGATTTCTTCTTTGGCCAAAGGCCGTTATTTTAGGGTCCCCGAGGTGAGCGATCGACTGGGCACAGCCGGGGCTGTCGCTCGGGGCTTGAGGAGAGGCTGACACCAGGAGCACTGCCCAAGGGCTTGTTTAACATCTTTGTGCATCCTGACAGATAAAGGAGCCTTTTGTATTAACATCTAGGAGCAGATGAGGAGGCTGCAGCCCTCTGCTTTCCCTGCGCTTTGGGACCAGCACCTGGGTGTCCATGACACGGTGCAGGGGGGTCCTCCTGGGCACGGGGGTGTCCACTTCTTGCAGCAATCCCAACGTGCCTATGTACTTGTATATCGTGGTGAACGCTTGGAGGTTGCTCGTTACAAAGAGCCAAGTTAGGAATTTCATAAGGTGAGGAGTTGCCAGACACCACAGCCTTGCACCCTGGAGAATTACCCCACCATGAAAGCATGTCCTGCATACACTGCACATCATTCTCATCGCTTGTAGCAGAGGTAAGGGGGAGCTGAGCTGTGTGATTAAATGACTTTATAATTAAAACATCTGTGCTCTTGAATTGGGCACAAGATCAAGTCTGAGGATAAGGCTGAGCTGAGCCA